GATACTGCTATGTAGGAGGACTATCAAATCCAGCTACCGTTCAGACTGGGTTAGAAAGTTGCTATGCCATGTCATACTAAGTGATGTCGCGTGTGATGTGTGCGCTCATGCTCCTGATCACGGAAGCCATACGCTCCAGGAGCTCCAGCCATGCTTCTAACAGGCGTCTGCTGATCAGTAAAATTGCGATAAAACAATCTGCAAAAATTGACGAGGACGGTCTAGACACGAAGACGTATCGATGGCGTCCGCGCCTCCTCCGGAACCAACTGCACGACATTGAGGGACGCTTCCAAAGGCAGTCGCGTGGTATGCGTCCTTATAAAATATTAGTAGGTTAAATGTCGGAAACTTGATGCATAAATTTTCTACTATGCGCACGTGCTAACATTACTGGCTCAAGGTGCTGTTCACGGATGACCGGCCCTATTTGCCTATTACTAGGAGGAGGCGATTTCCATGATGGAGTAGTATTTTGAAAATCTGTTTGCATGATTTTGAAGGGTTTATAATTCTATAATATTGCAGTGCATTCGGTCCTGCAGGCGGGCCGTATTCTTGCAGTTCTGTGACGCGGCCTGTGGTCAAACATGAAGCACCCGAGCATGCCGCATGTAGCAAAACTGCATTGGATTTGAGGTCTACATAATCCTGGGTAATGTTAAAATTATTTTGGTGCAACGGCCAACGTCTTTTTATGAAATGCGTTCGGACCGCGGGAAGTTGCGAGGCCCGCAGCTGAACTTTGTTGAACGCGGCATGGAAACAAGATATTGTTGTTACAAAGGCACTGCAATTTCGCTCTGTGACCCGACCAACGGTATTCGCACGTGCGTGTGCGTGTGCGTGTGCAGCCGCGTGCCAGAGCGCGAGTTCGACCTGCTCCTTATACGTTCGACCTGCTCCTTATACCCATGACACCCCCCACAAAACGTCTTGGGGGACGTGCTCACGATCATCACCATATAACCGTATATCAAAAAACTTACTGCTGTTAGCAAATGCTGAACAGAAACCCAGCACCGTACATCTGCGGTGACACAGCACCCCAACTCAAAGCGAAGCAAGGAAGAACATTGTATTGTGTAGCACAGCAAAGCCAACAGATTTGGACGGCATCTGTACGGAGATGTTATCTGGTCCGTTGCATCTGCTGTGCAAGAGAGCGCCTGCAAAACATGCCGCACCTGCGGAGCACACAAGGCCACAACAAAATGGAAAGGGCAAAAGGCTTGAACCTGAATGCTAACTCGTGGAGCAACACGCAAACGGATAAGTAGCACTGTCCTGCCCCACATGGTATGCGCCGCGTATCAACGAGCAGTACAACATTGCATGCCCGTGCACCGGGGCTGACCATTATTCCCATCTGGAATTGGACACACACACTATCTCCCGCAGGAATGAATGACACTGAGAACCGCACCATCTGCGCGCGCGCGCGCGTGTGTGTGTGTGTTACATGGTTGGGGGGTGCGTGGCCCCATACCTGTAAAACTACCCATACGAGCGGAAGGCCCAATCTGCGCGTGGCTCTGAGTTTGTGAGGGGACTTGCAACTTATCGGGGGTTCTGGAGGGGGCGGAGGCCCCCAGTGCCTTACAGCTAAGTAATGAATCACACAACACCCTGAAAATCTATTACTTGATGAGTAATAAAAAGGGACCAGCCCTAAACGAAAACAAACACTGCCTGCGATCAGTCATTTTAGCTTCATGGATGTAACATAAGTCCAGAAGCTGAAACAGCATTACAATTCCTCTTATCCTAAAAGGTTTGACGTACCCAGGCTTTGCTCCCACGAAGAAGCCAAACGACACGTGGAAGGCGGTGCTGTGCTGATGCAGGAAATCCAAGTACAGCTGACGATACGTTTTTTGGACTATCCTCCGTGGAAAGTACAAGGCAACAATACCCGGAATCTTTACACTGCCCCTCGCGAGTGGACTGAGTACACTGTTGTTGTACCAAAAACACGCAATCTCCTCCACGACCCCCTTATGAATTTTGTCCGAGCGCTCAATCAGCCTGTATGGGCGAGCAGGTTGGGTGCTAGCTCCGCCAACTACTTCCTTGAAGCGCTCGCCTGCAGCCCCTGATGGCACTTTTCTTTAAACCCACGCGCCTGTGCAGCCCTTCGCACTCGATCTAAATGCTGTCACTAATCAGAATTTTTCATAAGATAATCTTAGGAAAGCTGCGAAGTGCTGATTGCGACACATAGAACTGGTGGCAATGAGCAGCGGGATGCTGTACCTGTCCCGTTTTTATTGGCGTCATTCCGTTCTCATGACACGTCCCTTCCCACTCGATCTGAATGCTGTCACTAAGCAGAATTTTTCATAAGATAATCTTAGGAAAGCTGCGAAGTGCTGATTGCGACACATAGAACTGGTGGCAATGAGCAGCGGGATGCGATATCTGTCACGTTTATTGGCGTTATTCCGTTCTCATGACACGTCCCTTCGCACTTGTTCAAAATGCTGTCACTA